ACTCCGATTACTGCTTACAGAGTGTTTAACTTAAAATATGTTAAAATAAATTGTGACTAATGATAATTCAATATTAGTAGATTAGGTTATTATTTCTTAGTTTTTAAATATAATACATTTTTTTTCCTATATGTGTACCTACTGCATAACCACATATATGACTTGATTAACATAATGAAGTTGTAAAACTGTGACTGTCTTAATAAAAATGATATGTATTTCAGAAAGTGATTCATATTGTCTTCTAAGAAGTAAAGATTTTAATCAGTAATCCTGAAATAGCTATACAGAAAAGACACATTCTATTTTTAAAATCACAGCTTAATAAAATGGAAACATTTTAACAAAGGTAACATGAATACTGTCTGTAGTTGACGCGAGTAGTACACATTTAAATAAAACACTTTAACGGTTTAAAACGAGATATATTTTACACCACCACAGCTGCTGCAAAGCATCCGTAACGTCGGGCCGTAGTTAAAAATAATTTTCAAACAAGTTTAACTCAAATATATCGCGTTGTAAACCGTTAAAGTGTTTTATTTAAAAGGAAACATGTATAAAGATGTGGGAACGACATAAGCTTTCAAAACTAAAGATTAGTAAACAAACCTCCGGTTAGTTGTCATCAGTGAAACCGACCGCAAGATTTCTTCGACTAGTTAATAATTTGACCGAACATCATTATGCAGTTTCCGATACGAGCTTTGTTAGCAAAATGATACACGCTATCAATAACCAATGTGACATCGACTATCGGCGTTTTATTGAAATGAACTTCAGCGGGGAAGGTGACCCAGGCAAAAGAAATCAATTTTTGTACGAGCGCGCAGATTTGTGGCGTTATCACATCAATTGATTTAAAACCGACATATGTCTTAAATATTGTCTATAGTTTACGCGAGTAGTACACATTTAAATAAAACACTTTAACGGTTTAAAACGCGATATATTAGTTAAACTTATTGGGAAATGATTTTTAACTTCGGCGCGACGGGTCTCCCTGTGACCACGGCTGCTGCAAAGCATCCGACACGTCGGGCCGAAGTTAAAAATAATTTCCAAATATGTTTAACTAATATATTGCCTTTTAAACCGACATATGTCTTAACAATACTACTATATAACTAAGAATTAATTAACTAAAAATCGATTATAAATAAAAAAAAATTACGACACTGGCAATTAAGCTAGCGTGTCCTACACGTCTTTGTCGCTTTTTTTCAACCTATAGATACTTGCACCTTTCGCGCAATTAAATATCATTTAAATAAAACAATTTTTAAATGCTTTTTTAAATGCGGAATATTTTAGCTAGCTTAAGTTTTATTTATTGCAACTACGGCTCGACATGCCAGATGCTTTGCAGCAGCACTAAGTAGTACTTTATTGTTTTGGCTTTATTTATGCATTAACGGTTTTAAAAGTGTTTAAATTCTGACTACTGAACCATTTAAAACTATGTCGTTAATCGTAATCCCTGAAAAAAGGAAAATTAATCTTATTATTAAGAAGATAATCCTCGTCTGAAGTTTCCGCGAGTAGTACAGTTTTAAATAAAACACTATTAACGGCTTAAAACTCCGAACGTGTAGAAGATGGTTATGGACAAATAGCACGGAAATAGATTAAAATTTAAATGTTCCCGTGGACTTTATGATCGCACTTTATGTGTGGTCAGCACGATTCTTTCACATTTTTTGTGCCACGAAATTATGTTGTCGAAAGATCACACACACATGTGAAAATGTATCCTACTTAGTCAGGTATTTAAAAATAGTAAAAATAAATAGTCTATATTTTACACTAGTAGTAATAATTTTAAACGCGATATATATTAGTTAAACTTATTTGCGGGCCGTAGTTCCTAAATAAATTGAACTAATATATTTCGCGTTTTAAACCGTTAAAGTGTTTTATTCGAAAATTGTTCATTCAAGTGAAAGTACTTAAATAGCGCCCCGCCGATATTCAATTTTCGCTTTTAGCATAAAATGAAAAGGGTTCGTGACAAGTGTCATCGAGGATTTGGGGATGAGACCACCAATTGTGTCAGAATTAGCAAATATTTTGCGGATTGTCTTGTTTGTTGTCAATAATCTTGTTTCTTAAGGGATTAAGCACTCGAAGACAAATATATCAATTGCGACTAGTGAGAGTTACGTCTCTGTACCTTTGTTTGAGTTGAACACTTAAGTACGTTTTCCGTAAATATTGAAATTAATAGGTGGTCTTTGCAGGTAAAAGTATTAGGTATAATAATCACATTGTAATGTACGTTATAAAAAAACTCCTTGCACTATGTTTGTGGTGAAATTATAAATAAGGAATTTGAAATGGTCTTCACATGTTAACTTTGTAAAAACGTGGTTTAATTGAAGAGATTAGATGACATTGGCAGGATTCGAACTGAGGATAAAACATATTTTACAAAATGCTATCCATACAAACATATTGTGTCAAATTATAAATGTTTGTTCATGTTAAGTATGTTAGGACTAAGTTCAGTTTTGTCTCTCAATATATGTAGCTTTTCTTCGGAAAATAAATTGACTTGGGATTCATTTCTAAATATAGCATGGAATAAACTAAAGATCGATTAAATTGATCTAGATCACATTTGACCTTTCGTCTGACGCTACCTTTGTGTTCTAGGAACAACACATTTGAAATTTAGAACTGTACAATCGCTTGATATTTTCAAAATATCTAACGAAAAAATAAGGCAACTTAACGATTAAATTTAACATATCACCATACTAAATGATTACGGATCAGAATTGCCTCTCTGATTTAATCGCTAGTTCCAAAGCAGACCTTAGAAGTTGGAAGGGCACGGTTAGCCGTCGCTCTTGCTTATCATCACTATTTTAGTGGCAAACATTAAAGCACATCAACCCAATATAGCAGCGTGGTAGGTGCAAACTCCTAAACAATCTACAGGAGTGGATATCTGTGTCCAGCTGTGTTGAGAGAGTCCAGAAAAAGGTTTTCTGTTTGAAATAAGAATCACAATACACGTGCCAGACCCGCTATTCTAAAACCAAATGTAATCTGTACGCGGGGTGCGATTCTTTTAGCACGATAAAACGTTTAAACCAAAACCCACAGCCTATGCCATTTGTCCACACAGATTATGATGGAAATGCTCAATGTATGCGCGCTCATGCATGCATCGTAATTAATACTTGGTCATCGGTAAAGTGTCAGTGGTGCGGGCGTCTAAAACAAATATATGAATATTAAAAAGGACATTATTCTACGTCATTGTATTTTGTATAGGTTAATTGCCAGGTTGAAGCGTCCGTCTATTGGGTAGGTATACGTTCTTGGGGTTGGGAGTTCAATTTCGGCTCATGAACCGTTTTAGCTTCATTGGTCTAATTATTAGTGCTCTCGACAGCAGACTATGAGGTCCAGATTCGAGTCTTGGTTTGGATGGAATATAACTTTGTATTTGAAAAATTCGAAGACCTAATATCAGTCCAGACTTTAGGAGGCGCATCACCTTCGTGCCTCGGCCAAAGTAAGCCCTCGATCGGCCTCCCTTAATGGCAGTAGTTAAAAGCTCACCAAACCGCACAAGAGAATTGTGGTGGTTACTAAACTCTCTTTGCGAGAGGAGACCTTACCTCAGCAGTGGGACACTATGATTGAAGCTTTCTTTTTTATTATGTTTATTGTGATAGTTATTTATTGATATACTTAGTTTTGATGATAAAAAAGGATTTCCTTCTCTTCCTTCGATAGTCATGTTAATTTAAAAACACTTATTTTTAAACGGTTTATATGTATAAGAAATAATAAAACAACAGCTTTAGGTAAATCTTAGGAAATATAGTTATACTAAAATGCGATATAAAGTGCCAAAAAAAATCGTTGTGTTCGCACTTACTAACAATTGACTGAATCTACTATTACGCGCTCTAACGCGTTGTAATGCGTTATGCTGTACACAGCCTAAGGCGTTTATCGAAGACCACAGCCTAATATGCAGCCTGAGGCGTTCGTTTTTTGCAGCACCCGAATCAGGCACCTTGGCTACAACAAATGTGCGGCCAATCCGGTAATTTATTTTTTTAGCCAATAAATAACTCATACGTCAAAACTTTGGACGTGCGCCCGCGCAAGCCAAGTGATATATTGGATCTTGTCACAGAGCATCCTTTTTTAACAGATTATAATGCGTTTCTCGATTAATTAATAGTTGTGGTTATACCGTTTAGCTTGATTATTTCGGTCATTGTAAAAGTATCTAATATAAAAAAAATATTAGGTTTAAATAAAACACTTTAACGGTTAAAATGCGATAAATAAGTTTAACTAATATATCGAGTTTTAAACCGTTAGAGTGTTTTATTTAAATGCGTACTACTCGCGTAAACTATAGACAGTATTTAAAATATTAGGTGAAAAAACATTACGACCCTGAGTTTGAGTATATATTTTTGACAAATAACTGTATATTATGTTGACAGGTAGGTAGGTAAGCCTTCTAAGATCAAAAGAACCTTACGACTTTCGAAGGCCCAAATATCCCAGTTATTTTTGTTTATGACTTTACTAACATCCCCAATATATGACACCGTAACCTTCTAACTGAATAATTATTAAAACTTATACTAATTAGATTACATTAAATTAGACAGTAGAATACTGTTTGTCTTGTTAAAAATCAATCATTAAAATAAAGTAACCTACAACATAGATGATCTAGTTATTTTTTGAAAATTTCCAAAAGAAACTAAGAAATCCTAGTTACTTAAATAGATTCTTAATTAGAAAAATTTTACTTCTTTACAAATCTTATTTATTTCTTAAGGTAATTCAGAAAAATCTTATAGACGTCTAGTTAGTTTCACTCGTAATTATTGATTCCGATGTATTATCGATAGTAAAAATGTTTATTCTTTAAAAGTTTGACCCTAAGATAGCGCATACGATATGTAAGCGAGGGTATAAATGGAGGGAGCAGATGTGTGGGACTCCGTTTGGTGGCAATGTTTGCTTTGGTGCTTTGTGCGATAGCCTGCCTCTTGGCGGGAGGTTCCGCCGATTTCGTGGAACACAATGCCACTCCACCTAAGATAGGTAAGGTTCCTTTAAAATTACTTTCAAATCATAAGCATTGACGCTGTCAAAAACTACACTAGTCGTCTTTGTTATGCTTCATCTGACTGCAGCTGTAGTGAAATGTTTTAACGTGTTGTTTGAAAGTTAAGCACGAGAGGTCCTGGGTTCGAATCCCAGGGAAAAAATAGTTTGTTCGATCGGGCAGGGCACAGAAACCTGATCAACTACTGTGAAAGAACCGATGAGTGGAACGGACACATAAATGTGTTTGCTCTATGCTCCTCGCGGGAAACGGGATTTCATAGCGTTAGCTGTTTTAGATAATGTCGAAATGGAACTTTAGACAAGACGTCGCTAAAAAGAAATTAGAGCCGTATTTATAGAATTAATTTTAATAGCAAAATTTCAATATGTTCCGATCGATTATTTTTCATGCATAGTCAATAAAATAAGCTTTTAGTTTAAAGTACTTAGTATAGAAAGGCTAAACAAATACTTGTTTTTAGTGTATTTATAATACACTAAAAAATACGTGTATTTGTATTACGATTATTTTTTTACAACAAACCAAATTTATTGTAAATCCACAAATATATGTTAAAGTTTTTTATGATAACTTTTATTATAAAAGGGCCGTAATATTATTGGGAATACTAGTAATACAAGAACGCATTAGGTAAAGGCTTTGTAAATTTCCTGAAAGTTCTTAAATAATATCGTGATTTGCGAAATTATATTCCTGTCTATGTTTAAGTTACGATATGAAGGACTACAAAAATGAAACTAATGTTGTTGATTAAGTAAGTAATGTATCAATTTTTTCAGCTGACGCCAAGTTTTTGCAAAGACAAATAGACCTTCTGACTCTATACTTCCACATTAATGAACCTCTCCACGACCCCAAGTTGAAATCTATTGCGCAGTCATGGGATCTAGCTGACAATGTTGACAAGTTCAGCGTAAGTATACTATTAGAAAAAAAAAGAAAAGGCAACTTCGTACATTTACTAACACACATTTTATTCCAGAATGTTACCGCGGTACGAATGTACACTAACCTCATAGATTATGACATGCTACTACCCCGTTCAGTGCCATTCTCTATCTTGGACCCAACGCATCAGTTTGAAGCAGTCACCTTATTCAACGTTCTCCTATCGGCCAAAGATTACGACGTATTCTACAACACAGTAGTACATTTGAGAGATATCGTCAACGAAGGCCTCTTCGTCTACGTATTGGCTACAGCGACGGTCCACCACCCGGAGACTCAAGGCATCGTTGTTCCACCTCTGTATGAAGTGTTCCCGTGGTACTACCACAATGGAGAAATTATGCAAATCGCTAATAGGGTCAACACGCACGGAAAACGTTTGATCCAGCATTACCCCCAAACTTACCTTTGGGAAGATAACGTCGTCATCAGGTGGAATACTACAATGTGGCCATACCTGGAAAACATGGACGTCTCTACCTTCTATTATTCCCAAGACTACGCTCTAAACACTCTTTACTACAACAATCATTTGACGTATCCGTTCTGGTTAAGTGGCCAGAATGGTCCCCTCATGAAGTATAAGCGTGGAGCTTATTACTGGTTCTTCAACAAACAATTAACAAATCGTTACTACTTCGAGAGGCTGTCTAACGGCTTGAGCGAAATTCCTGAAATCGGTTCGGACATCGTTGAAGAAGGTTTCGCTAGCGGTCTTGTTTATCCTAATGGTATTCCGTTCCCTGTGAGGCCAGACAATCTACGCATTGACCAGCCTAAGTACTTGGATACGGTTGAGAAGATAAAGTCTTATGAACGGCGCATAAGAGATGCTATTGAACTGGGCTATGTGGTATCAGTAAGTAGACTTTTTACCAAGGAATAATCACGTTTATTACAAGTAAAAGCCACATTGAATATCTTATTCTGTCTTAAGCATTCTTAATTTAATTGGTGTTATTAATGTTCTATTTTTCTAATTTGATCATATAAAGTTAGTTAATCGTTTAATATATTTCAGTCCTCTGGAGAAAAGATTTCCTTAAGAACTCCCGAATCTATTAACGTACTAGGTAACATCATTGAAGGCAATGTAGATTCGCCCAATCTAGTCTATTACGGCAGCTTCATTAACACTTGGAAGTCACTCTTGGGTAACTCTATCATTTCTGGCCATGTTTACCAAAAGCAGTGAGTATTCTTTAAGATGACTTCAATTGTCTATATTATTTAAATTATTTTTTTTTTCAACCAATGTGGTAATCTAATATGTTTTATTTAGGCATGTACCTCTAGTGGTGCCAGCGACTTTAGAAAACTACCAAACTTGCATGTCTGATCCAGCCTTCTATATGATCTGGAAGCGAGCATTCACCTTCTTCACGCTTTGGGCGTCATATCTGCCTAAACACGAGATGGAGACACTTTCATTGCCCTCAGTAACGATCAAGAAGGTGGAATCTGATAAGCTAGTCACCTACTTCGAATACAAGTACCTGAACGTAACCAATGCTCTGTACTTAAATGAACGTGAGAGTAAGTTTTACTAGGAAATCATTATTTTTGGTAATATTGTTAAAACAAAACTTGACAGTATATTCAAAGCTGGATTGCTTGCTTTTTAGAGTTTTGTAATTAAAGAATAATAACAAGTCCTATCTTAAAGACTTTCTAATTTAATCAGTCCCTCATTGAGCTTTCCATTAAGGATACTCCTTGATATCTTATCTCCTCAATAAGGCTTATAAGCCAGTCAGAAGTAGATTTTTTTACCTCTCTATATTCTTATCTGATGACTTTATTCTTATCCAATTAAATATTTACGATACGTAAGGATTACAGTGTAAATGATGAGAATTATGAAAGCAATATTAGTACCTCTTGTTATTATTTTACAGGTAAAATGGTGGAAGATGAAGTCAGTGTTCTAGTCCAACGTCCACAATTAACCAACAAGGTCTTCAACGTTCGCGTGCACGTCAAGAATGACGTTGCTAAGAAGGTTGTGGTTAGGTTCTTCTTAGCACCAAAATACGATAGTAATGGATATGAAATTCCCTTACACCTTAACACCGAAAACGTCTTCCAGCTCGACCAATTTGTATACCAGTGTAAGTTCTTTTAACTGGGAGTCTAATAGCAAACTAGTTGAATAAGTTTTACTATATAGTGTCTGTAGTTTACGCGAGTAGTACACATTTAAATAAAACACTTTAACGGTTTAAAACGCGATATATTAGTTAAACCTATTTCAAAACGATAATGACCGGGAGCTCCGTGACCACGGCTGCTGCAAAGCATCCGAAACGTCGGGCCGAAGTTAAAAATCGTTTTCAAATAAGTTTAACTAATATATCGCGTTTTAAACCGTTAAAGTGTTTTATTATAGGTTTCACTATGTTTATTATGATGATGGATTGATGATAGACTGGTCATTGATATGATATTAAGGGTTTGTTATATCATCTTCTAATTAAAAAAAAATCGACAGGTCAAGAAACCTACTAAAAGATATTTAAAAATATGAGTTAGCCCTATTAATTAATTATTATGTGATCATTTTTATCAGCTTTCGATAGTTACTTTGAATGACCTTCTATTATAAGTTTTTATGATGAAGTAAAATAGACAAGAATGAGGCGGACTTGATGGAAGGTAAAACACACCAGCCATGTAACATCTAAATAAGATGCTGTCTAACTATTTTAACTTTGGATATTCGGAAATCTGCAAGCTGAAACCGAAACTCGACTTAACGGCTTTTCCATCTATGGACGGTGGATCGTGACCCGGAATTTCGATGTTCCTGACATCCAATTTATATCTGGATTTCCAGGCGACGTCCAACATGTATTAAACATACATACTAATTGATCTAAATGATCTAAACATGTGGGATTCGGTGGGGCTAACGAGCTCATCGTCTTGTTGGTTCTAGTACCAGTTGGAGAACATGTCATCAGACGGGAATCGACAGGAAACATGTACACCATTGACCAGTGGTACTCTAGTTACGAAGTCTATCAGAAGGCTCTTAACGCTTTACAAGGAAAAGGACAGTTTGTTGTCGACATGAAGCAGTTCTTCGACGGTTATCCTCGCAGACTCATGCTGCCAAAGGGTAAATATTAATCTTATTTGAAACTAAGTATAGAGTATTATAAGATGCATCTTCTTGTATAAAAAATCATTTTCAATGAAAATCTGTATAATTAAATCTTAATCAATAATAATTGTTAATCACAACGATCGTATTATTTGGCTATTAAATTTATGAAATTTGAAGAAAACATCTATCGTGTTATTCACATCACAAACACTATATACTTATAAATAATAAATCTCCATAGTGTTTCTCATTAATTGATTGATGAGACAAATGCAATTTTTACTATTTTCGTGTACAGGTCGCGTCGGTGGTATGCCGTTCGTTCTCTTCGTCCACATATCTGATTACGTAGCACCAGAGACACCCTACGGCCAAGGAGTGAATCCAGAACAGACCTTCGGCATCGGTACAGGAGCCCGAAGAATGACAGCCTACCCCCTCGGCTTCCCATTCGACAGGCCACTCCACCAGTATCAAGTGGAAAAACTCACCAATTTCTATGCCTACGACGTTCTTATTCACCACAAACCCATTCCTGAAATCTACGTGCCGCAATAGATACTTGATTGCATATATATAATGTTTATTATGTATAGATATAGTGTGCTTTCGTTATAATTATGTATTTAAAGCGCTACTGTGCCAAAGATATACGTTATTCATATAAAGATTATACAAAATCATATTTATTTATTGCAATAATAAACCCACTTATCATATAAGACGATCAGCTGTATTAGATCTCACAATTCTGCAATAAACCTTATTTATAAACGATATGTATTGTAACATATTATAATTTACATTGAAATAAACGTTATAGAAAATATAATATTTTTTAAGCTCGCGTCATATATTTTTTTGTAGTGTAACATAATATCTTGTTAATATTTATAAAAGTATATAGTCCCGAATAAATGAAAATACAACCAATTCTTATCAATTTTATTTTAAATCTTATACTTCTGTTTTATTATTAAAAATGTTTCTAGAGACAAGCACTGCCATCTCTTAATCTTTGGTGATAGCGAAGTTAAACTCCTGCCATCTAGTTAGTATAGTAGTAACTGTCTAACAACTTTCAAACTTTTTTAAACGTGCGTTAGATGGCAGTAAAGTCAAGAGATACAAAAACATCTTGCTTGCTTACTTATTATTATTTATTACATATACAACCCCACACAGACAGACGGAGACGGATACACGCTTGAGGTTTACTTGATGCAATGACCTACATAACTCCTAAATAAGATGCGAGGGACCTATTTTTAATTTTGGAAATTTGTATGATTAAAAAATTAAACATATTAAATCGACTGTTTTGAAAAGAAGGTAATTGTTATTCAAATATGATATAAAAACCAAAATAATAAAAAGAAAACTACGTTTTTGTCAGGCTACTTATTCTAATGGTAATAACATAGCCGAGGGAACCTAATCCACGTAGACAAGGTTCAGTCTGGGCATTTTCAAATATTGAAAGCCAAAATAGGCCGACAGCCCATCTACTTTAGATGTAACATGGCTGAGTTTTACACCTTCTATCAGATGAACCGCATGCTTGTCTGTATTACACTATAAAATACTTTAGAAGACAAAATCTCTTGCAATAAGTAAGCTTTATATTACTTAGTACTTATTCGATCTGAATATAATGTAATGCCTCAGATATAAAAACAAAACACAATAAATAAAATTTACAAAAACGTACCTAAACCAAAAATATACATAGATAATAAAAACCAATTGAGTTACCGTGTCCTAAGCCATGTCGCTGGTTATAGCAGCATGGAACGCTGTCGATGGTAGTTCAAGTTCGACCGGTGATATATAATATATTCTTTTTCAATGTAAATATAAATTTATATTATTAGCATCAGGTGCAATAATATGTAAAAAAAAAAGTTTTTTTTTTTATGTACCTGGGTGTGTTACGTTCACACCACGTTAGGAGTATCATAAAATGAATTTGAAATATGTATTAAGTATTAAGTAAAATCTTGTATCCGTGTGTACTGTGTCCGTAACACTGACCAATTTTATTTACTCGAACCCAGAACGTTTTCTGCTAAACGCACGTTTATGGTTAAGCCCTATGGTTAAGCCTGCTCAAGAGCTACAAAGATGGTTATTTATATAACATAGACATAATTTTCAGTAAATATATTTTTAAATAATATACTTAAACGCGAAATATATTATTAATCGCGTTTTAAACCGTTGAAAAAGCTTTATTTAAATGTTTATATTAATTATATTTTATTGTTCCATATTTCGCGCAATCCCAACTTGTAACATGAAACAATATGTTTGTTGTCATAATTAAAAATGTTAATTTAATTTTAGGTAGAAACCTTATCAATAATCGTGTGATAGTAAGAAATGTCACCTTAATTATAAAAAGCGTTCCTGATCTTTGACATTGAAAGATCGATAAAAATGGAATTGTTTTGATTACTTCAGCATTTGCTTAGTTTATGAATAATAGCCGGATTTCAGTCTGCAATTATAATCTCTATTACGAAATACGTTTACCCGCATTTTTGTTGGTTGATAACCAGCAAAGCTTAAGCTGAAAAGTGGTTTAATAATTTCAACGTTACATTATATTCTAAATTGAAAATCGATATTAAATTAAAAAAAAAAATTCGACTCGGGCAGGACTTGAACCGGCGTTGTCAGCGTTCCGTGCTGTTGCTCTATCAATTGAGCTACCGAGTCGAAAAAATTTTCAATTTATTTTCGATTTTTAAATTATATAGTGCCTTCATATGTAAAAAATAATAAAGTTTTCAAAATAGGACTTGGACAAGACTTGAACCGACATCCACACCGTTCTGTGGTGTTGCTCTAACCGATTAAGTTACCGTCACCCTACACGTGTCATACATGTCATCGTCAATTTTTTTCAACCTTTTTTGATACATGCACATCTTGCGCAATGTAATTGCAAAATAAATATCGTTATATTGTTTTTCTATCACCGTAGCATCTCAATGGTTGAACGCGTTGCATTGCGTTAAGCGCGATATGTTTAAATTTTGAGAACTCCGTTCACTTGTCTACATTAAACAACCGATCTGTAAAATTAATTAATTAATTTACTTTTTACATACTTATAAATATTACAGAAGATTAATTTTTACATAAACAATAATTACACAGAAACACATTACAAGTACGGTTAAATAGGCACGCAAATAAGGCCATCATAATTAAAACTAATACTAATCAGAACTGCTTCTTCATGCAGTACTGGGGGAAACGAGTTTTCATATACAAACACAGACACATTTTATTTAAAACACCTCTTGCTTAGCTCCGCATGATATAAAATAATAAAAAGAACCATATTTTATTTAGAACCTAGCTTTCCTTCGAACCATTGTATTGATAGAAATATTCCAATTGTCTTCAACAAACAATGTTTTCGTTATCAACGTAGTAACGGAAAGTTTAATTCGTTCTATCTCTTTATTTGTATTATTCATACATCCGATAAATACAATTAAAAATATGTTATTACGTTTGTTAGGTAAAACGACAGTTTTATTTGACTAGCTCAGTGGTCTAATGGTAGTAATCAACGGGTCGTGGGTTAGGTTCCCACCGGGACGAAAATGTTAAATTTTGCAATTTATAATTTTTATGAAATATATTGGTGTTTTTCTGGAAATATGGATTTGGTGGAAAGACAAAAATTCCGTCCGGGTCACGAACCACCATTCACAGATGAAAAAGCCGCGAAGCTTTCCAAAGCTAAAACAGGTCGACAGCATCTTGCTTATATGCTATTTACGGGGGTACCTACCATCAAGTTAACCTGTCGTGTGAGGCTGTCTGTCTCCTCTATGATTAAACAAACATTTTTGTCTATTATTTTTTAATTTTATTAAACTGTGAAATATGTTTGTAAATAACACACCGACATCACATCATTTAGATACAATAAGAATTATTATTCAGTAGCTGAACCGGCATACGTTATTTGTTGTTTACAAGATTTATAATTTTATGCGGATACAACTCTAACAAATATTGGTAATAATGCATTCATTTGACCAAATTTGATAATCATATAAGTTTTTGGGAGTTAATCGTAAAAGATATGTTCTTTCGCGGACATTTTATATCCTTTAACGAAATCATACTTTCATTTATATTTTTTGGTTTCTTGGGCCGTTTTCGCAGCAACAGATGCCCGCTCTTATACGTGAATAATTTTTTTTCCACGTTTCTTCACGTCTATAGCTCGCATGTTAAATACATATATAGCGTAAATTCTTTCTTGATAAAATATGTTCTACTCAACACACAAATAATTCGAACCAGTAGATTCTGAGATAAGTGCGTTTAAAACTCTTCAGCTTTATAATATAATATAGATAACAATTAAGCTCGACTCAGTAACAGATGACAATATCAATAATTGCTATAACAAAAATTCCCTTGCGTGCCACAATTCTTTGTATTTTATTTGTTGTTCTGTCTATTGTGCATCCCCCTAGGATTAAAACATGATTTTTAAAGAGACATCGATAAACTATGATAAATTATGAGAACAGATATATTTTAAGATTAAATATAAGATAGATATGTATTTAAATAAAACTTTAAACGTTAATATGTTTTATTTAAATGTGTACTACTCGCGTAAACTACAGACAGTCTTCTGCGTACCTGCATTATTACGATCTTAATCTATGATTAACTAACCTACATAATACCAGCAAGCATTCATGTAATAAACCTTTGTAATATTTAATACTTAACTTAAACGAGTACTATTTGATAATATATTCCAAATTATTCACCAACGTCGATGTATGGATAACTACTATAGGCCGTATCAGGTAGTATCATAATATAACTTACACCACTGTGTGGTAGACGAAGTAGAATTGGCTATTCACGATCCTTCTTCGGTCACCCCCATCAGCATCTGACCTCATGAAAGTTCACCACAGATAAATGATAAAGAACAATTCCAAATATTATTGAACTTATCACTGTGCGATAAGGTGCATTAAGTTAGTATAAAAACTGCAGCGAGAAAGTGTTAAGGCACAGTTACCATTTGGTCTGGCAAACATGAAGACTGTCTTGGTCCTAGCTAGTTTCGTGGCCCTGGCGTTAGCCGGGACCATCGATGTCCATGTACAAGATTACAAGATTAAGCCGGGTAAGGAATTTCAAATTATTCTTTAATATTAAAAAAAAACGCTATAATTCCTTGCATTATCCAACAGAAACAGTTACTTAAATTTAATTACATGACATCAGCGTCTTAACAATTCCCATTTCTTGTACTATGGTTCTCCTCAAATTTTTATTAATATCTTGGGTTTCTCACGATGTTTTATTCGGAGGGTTAGAACTACGTCATCATCAGTGTGTAGGACTATATCTGTAAACGCTAACGTTCCTAAATTTGGTCCGCAGTCGACAAAGCATTCGTCGAGAAGCAGTCTGAGATCCTGAAGCTTTTCTACTATTCCCAACACGTGAACACCGAGGCCGACTACTACAAAATCGGAAAGGACTTCGACATCGAAGAACATGTCGACGACTACAGCGTAAGTTCTATTTGTAGAAATTTATTTATCGCAAACTGTTATTTGAGAATAATTTTTAAACTATTCAATATTCGCCAAATTGTACAATAAATAATTTCTCTTCCGAAAGAGAATTTTTTCTTATAGTCTTTTGCCTAAATCTTTTTCAGAACAAAAAAGCCGTTGAGGAATTCTTACACTTATGGAAAGTTGGATTCCTTCCCAAATACATTCCTTTCTCAATCTTCAACGAAAGAGCAAGGGAAGAGGCCGTCGCTCTATTCCATGTTTTGTACTACGCTAAGGACTTTGAAGTCTTCTACAAAACCGCATGCTTCGCCCGCGTCTACATGAACGAAGGCCAATTCTTATACTCCTACTACATCGCCGTTCTCCACCGCCCAGACCTTAAGGGAATTATCCTTCCTGCACCTTACGAAGCCTACCCCGAACTCTTCACCAACGTCGATGTATGGAACAGATTTGACCGCGTCAAGATGCAAAATGGCATTGACTCCGACTTCGGACCGGAATACGGAGTAGTTAAAGAGGAAAACCGTTACGTAGCTTACGCTAACTACTCTGACTTCTACACATACTACGGTGGCGAACACAAAATCTCATATTTCACTGAAGATATTGGTCTCAACTCTTACTACTACTACTTCCACGTATTCTTCCCATTCTGGATGGAAAGCGAAGTCCAGCCTGTCCTCAAGGAACACCGTGGTGAAATCTACTACAACTTCTACCAGCAACTGTTAGCTCGTTACTACTTGGAACGTTTGTCTAGCGGTCTTGGAGAGATCCCTGACTTCTCATGGTACAGCCAAATCGAAGCTGGCTACAAACCATTCATGAAATACTTCTACAACTTCGTTCAAAGGCCAAAATACTACCAAATTCCCTACGACAAGCACGTCAAGGAAGTGCAAGTACTTAACTCCTTCGAACAGACCTTCATCCAATTTTTGCAACAAGGCCACTTCAAGGCTGTAAGTATTTTAACTGTATTGTTTGTTTTTGTAAGCCAACAAGAATAGGCATATATAAATACTCTGTCAAATAGGAGATTATGGGGCTATCATAATTTATTCTAATTTGTTTTTGCAGTACAACCAGGATGTCGATCTACGTAACTCTAAATCCGTTAACTTCGTCGGAAACTTCTGGCAAGGCAACGCTGACATGTTCACCCAAGTCGGACCATGGCAACACCCCTACTCTTACGAGATTGTCGCTCGTCATGTCCTCAGTGGCGTTTCTGAGAGTTACGGAAAGTAAGTTAAACTTTTATGCAATACTTTCATTGAATTAGTTCTCTATCTAGATTTTAACATAACAATAAAATTTAATGTAATTAATAATAAATAATAATTAAAACATTTCTTTTCAGGTACGATTTCATTCCTAGCGCTCTTGGTTTCTACCAGACCTCTCTGCGTGACCCAGTTTTCTACCAGCTATACAGCAAGATCTTGAAATACTTCATCGAGTACAAGAAGGCTCTTACTCCTTACACCCAAGATGCTCTCCACTACGTTGGAGTTAAAATTAACGACGTCAAGGTCGACAAACTGGTCACCTACTTCGACTACTACGACTTCGAAGTGAGCAACGGTGTTTACTTCAGCAAGGAAGAGATGAAGTCCCACAACTGGCCATACTACGTTGTACGTCAACCACGTCTGAACCACAAGCCCTTCACTGTTTCTGTTGATGTCAAATCGGACGTTGAAGGAGACGCTGTCTTCAAGATCTTCCTTGGACCTAAATACGATGGCAACGGCTACCCCATTGAATTGGAAAACAACTGGCAAAACTTTGTAGAATTGGACTGGTTCGTGCAAAAACTCAGCAAGGGACAGAACAAGATCGAACGTCACTCAACCGACTTCTACTACACCAAAGAAGACTCCGCCCCCGTTAGGGAAATCGGTGACAAATACCTCGCACAGGGCAAGGTTCCATTGGACATGTCCGTCAAGCCCGGTGCATTCCCCAAGAGGCTTGTCTTACCCAAGGGTACAGTTGGTGGATTCCCATACCAATTCTTCGTTGTTGCATACCCCTACCAGCCCGCTAACAAGGAAGTCGAAACCATCAAGGTATTCGCTAACGACAACAAGCCTTTGGGCTACCCTCTGGACCGTCCTGTCAACGACGTCTACTTCAAGCAACCGAACATGTTCTTCGAGGATGTCAATGTATTCCACGAGGGCGAGATCTACCCATACGAATACAATGTTCCTTACTACACCGTTCACCACAACGAAGTAAACCAACACTAAAAGGAGAGAGAAAATATCTAGTTACTGAATAATGGACGTCATTTAATGACAAAATGATTTTATGTAAAAGTATATCATATGTATAAATAAAATATTTTATTATTTAACATTTACTTTTTATTTGAATATTTTTACAAATTCTTATAGTGCTTTGTTAATTCAAATGAGCTGAAAAATAGCCTTTCATTATATCATTTGTACTTTTTTTATGGTAAATAGTAATATTATTGAATACATAGTTGCTAGCTATTGATTCAGGGTTTATGGCAGCTTTTCTATGAAAAGGAAATCCTAAAGGTAGCGAATCAATATCATTACTGTCACCATCGGTAGGAAGTTCCGTAGTTGATAGAATCATTGTGAATAATGTTACATTTAAACCTTCCTCTAAACCTTTAGGTATTAATAAGTTTTCGGGAAATTTAAAGAGATCAAATCTATTTTTCTTATTGTACGATTGTTCCATATTATAGAAATCGTCATGTGAAAACTTTACCGAGTTTTCTGGAGACCAAGTAATGATATTTAAGCCCTTTTCAAATTTGTATAAGAATGAGTCGATTTCAAAGAAGTTTGCATATTCTCGCCAGCAATTATTCTGATCGCATTCAGGACCAATAAAAATTTTTACAATACCATTGTCGTTGACTTCAGATTCAATTGTGAAATTAAACGTAAATGGTAAATGCTTTAACCTTCTTTGTCTGGCTGTAAAGGTCGTCAGTGGCTTCTTTGCCAGGTATTCCTCGCTATACAATAGTTTGTTCAAACTTATTTGGTAATAATCGAAGTATGTTGTGATTTTAGAGAATGAACTTTCAACAATGTAAAAATTATTGTTCTCAAATTTGGAGAAATCGTATGGCGCTAACGTGGTCGCGTATTCAGTGAAATATTTTAATAATGTTTGAATCATTTGCCAGTACAATGGATCCCGTAAGGTTGTTTGTGGGTTATGAAGTACCGATGGAGCAGGGTTATATCTGAAAAAAAAGAAGTAAAATTTATATTATTTTCCATTTACAGAAAACTTTGTGTAGTCATGAAACAATACTAATATTAAATTGTTATTAATTTTAATCAAAAAACTGTACCTATCGCTGGGATAACTATTAGAGCCGTAACCAAACAACGATTTTACTACTTTAGCTGTTTGTATCCCGTCGAAGTTGGCCCGTATTAATTTCGCTAACAAATCAACATAGTTGTCCTCAGTAAGTGCTATTTTTGTTCCATTATCCTGAAATATATAATAATATTTATTACTTTAAAATTTATATAATTATTTCAAAATTATTATAATTGCGTTATTATCAATACTTTACCATATATATAACTCCTCTTGAAATACACTCTCTTATAGCAATGTCTATAGATTTAATTCGAGCTTGTTCCTCGTTCCACTGTGGCAATACTGAAGATCTAGTTGGGAATGGAAGGCCATTGTCATGTAGTAAATATGGATTATAATCTCGGAAACAATTAGATTCGCTGGACACATTCCGTGCACGATAGTGCTGCTTCTCCAAAAAATATCTTGCAAGAAGCTGCTGGTGTATGTAAAAATCGCGTTCGGCATATCTTGGGTCTACTCCTGACAGTTCATCATTACTCATCCAGAAAGGATATTGTAAATGCACGCCATAATAATAGCTGTTTAATGCTATATCTTCTCTGAAGTAGTCGAGATTTTCTTCACAACCTTCACTTATCAAATTCCAACTAGAGTAATTCGTATTTATCACAACCAAGTTATTCCCAGCGAATATTTGATTAATCTTAGCTATTTGTGTATCTGTCATGAAGTTTTCAGTTTTAAATTGGAATGCTTTTATTATCGCTTCACTGTTAATATAGTAATTTGGTTTAGATATAAAAGGTGGTTCGTTTTCTTTAGATGCAGCGTCCACTCTGTATAATGATACTAGTCTCCAGGCATAGTCAAACATAGCCTTATTAACATTTTCTCTTGCCCAATCTCGAATCAACCACAGTTTTTCATTGTCGACACATTGGAATATACGAAACAGGGCAATTGTTGCATCACGCATATTGTCGTCGTATATATTAAAAGTTAATCCTTTTATAGCACGTCCCGCTTCAAAGTGGGTCATAAATATTTTGTAAGTTTCGTCATCCTGATGATAAAAAAAATATTTTTAATTTTGGATGTTACTCGTAGTTTGACCTTAAATTATATCTTTTTAAAAAAGTTATACCTGGTCGATTAAATCTGATAGCTGAAGTTTCCCTTGACTTTGTGACTTAGATGGCACTGAACCGGGTATAATGAATCTCATTAGCCCTTCATTACTTTTGAATAACTCTGGAAACATTTTGCAAGTATTATAGTAGTAATTTAGAAAGTGTAATTTACCGTATTCTGTCAATATTGAGATTCAAGAAAGTTACTACTTACCTCCTTCACTTAAAATTTCAGGTAATTCCATAGACTTACTAGGAACTGGCACTGTTAAAATTTGTCCCAAGAAAAACAGCCATAGAAACATTTTTAACAAATAACCTTGCATGACAATAGGTTTCCAAGACTGAACTTAGAAAAAGAAAACAACTTTTATATGCAACTCAACGTGTTGCTGTTTCCCTACGTTCAATTGAAATCCTGGGGTCGGTTTAATAGGAATAATACTCATACTTGTGGTACATTCGATAACAAATTTTTATTTTAGCAAATACGTTAACTATTCCTTAATTTAAGGATCTCTGTCTAAGATTGAAATTGCTAGTAAAACTAATGAAGTCTTATTTTTGAGATTGGTTTTTGTGACTTCTTAAGATTACATTTAAAATTTAATTTTGAATTTTGTAATAAACCCGCGAGAGGCCACTTACAGAGATTCTGTTATATGTCGTAAATATAGAAATATCTTCAAAAATATTTGACAACTGTGACAGCTGTGTCAGCGACTTCGCCCGCACAATAATTATTTTAGGCATCCAAATTTGTTTTAGCAAACCTCCTCATATTTACAATTAAAATAGATTAATTTTTTTTATATCATTTTTGCAGCGTACGCATTATAAACTTACAAAGATAAATATTTTTTCCTGTTTATTCCATATTTCCCGCTGTTCCTTCGCTTCTATTAGTCGCAGTGCGATGTTTTATGACCTTCCTCGTTAAATGCTCTAACGAACACAGAAATACATTGTTAATTCCCACTAGTAGTACCTGAGATTAGCGCGTTCAAACTTTTCAGCTTTATAATATTAATAGATATTGGACGATACCTAGCAATAGTATTTGTGAATGCCTTTTACAAATAATTTAACATTTTCTTTATATGTCGTAAATAATATAAAAAGATCTAACAAAAACATCCGATAATAATCCTAAAACAGAAATACATTTTGCACATAATAGTACAGTTACGTTCTCTTAGGAAACAAAATCCAATTGGATAATTTTCCAATTGTGTCGCAGGTCTAATTTTGGTCCTGTGGTAATTCTTCGCTTACAAGCTCCATTATGCGATACAAGACTTGATTGACTAGAACAAAGGTACAAATATAGTGTGTATTGCTACACGGAAGTAAAAAAAACTTGAAATTGCAAGTATAATAAAAAAAATACTGCAAAGATAAGAAATATATTTATTTTAAAATGTAAAAAAACAATTTTTTTCAAAGATGTTCAGGGAGAAATGAAATTAACTTCTTTCGATACACAATATAATTTTTAAAGTTCACATATTGTCTTGACATGCGTTATAAATATTAGCACTGAAAACAATAATACGTTTCGGATGAGTTATTCTAGAATAATTCTAAAAAAAACGAACACAAAACTAGCCTATCTATAAGATAGAGAAGATATTGCGTTATTGTATGCTAATACCGCATTAACTGTTTTGTACTACGGAAGACTTATTTTAAACTTAGTAAGTAGTTCCCTAATATAATAAATAATACTATATTAAGTAAGTGTTGTACAATTTAGTCGCCGGTCATCATCTCCATGAACTCTGGAAAGAAAAAAACTCAGTATTAGTTACCAATCTAATAAAAACAATTAACAGACTTATTAATTTTAATGTTATAGTTGTCCCGCATAAAGCAGGGTGAGAATAGTTGACTCTTTCAAACTAATTAATTATTTAGTTCTGAAGAAAGAAATATCCTATCATTTCAATCGTCACGATCAATCGACTATAGTAAGTATTTAGATCATATCGAGTATACAGTTATTTAAATGTAAATAAAGTTATACAACGGCCCGACGTTTCGGATGCTTTGTAGCAGCATTTGAAAATGTGTACTACTCGGGTAAACTAGACACAGTAGTTAGTTTCGAGCCCGTTTTTGATACTCTTTAATTTTATTATGGGATTTTGTGGTAGAATATATGTTAAGTTTCAGTTATGACTTATGATATACCGAAGCACTTTTGTTTTTGAATTCTTACCGTCAAAGTCAACGGTTCCTGAACCGTCTGTGTCAATTTCAGCAATGATTCCATCTAAGTCTGAGCTGCTCAGTTTGTCGTCTAATGCAGCCAAGATCTCCTTCAGGGTTGATGTTGTGATGTAGCCGTTACCTTCACGGTCGTACAATCTGTAAAAAAAACAGAGTTCGTTTAAAAGGACACAATTTTTATCAACCTAATCTGTAAGACACTTAGTGTTTATATTTGATTATCACGAGCGAGTTTGGGCACTAGCACACAAACACTAACACAATTTTGTTAATTCTGTAGGTCGACAAATGCATGTTTTGATCTTTTCGTTAAACTCATACAGTAAAAAAAATATTTAAAGAAAATAAGGTGCGTTTGTTTACCTGAAGGCCTCTTTCAGTTCTTGTTGCATGGCTTCAGCGTCCTCCTCTTCAAGGAAGTGGGATGCAATGTTACAAAATCCATCGAAGTTGATTTTGCCTGAGTCTGAAAAAGAAAATGTAGTAGCTTAGACCAAAGTCTTACAGTCTGTCTAAAGAAGAATAGATACGTTGCACAATTATTATAATTGCGATACTAACTAATAGCTAGTGAATAGTTAAATACTGTCTATAGTTTAACTAATATATCGCATTTTAAACCGTTAAAGTGTTTTATTTAAATATTGAATAGTTTATAATTATAGTTATATAAGTTTATAAATATTATGTAAGGCATTATATTTGAATTTGCCTTACCAGTATAAACATTATTCAAAAAATGTAATAGTCTAACGTAAACTCTTCGCCCTATATGAGACATAGTCTAATTAATGTTACGTAACTCAACAGAACAAATATAATAAGTTGTTTAGCAGCAATAATTTGTACATTATTTAATATTGAATCTTAACGAGAAGTGACATCGAGCAAAGGAATTCTGAGTAGACATGTTCCAGCACTAAAATAGTCTCATTAAATTGGACATAGAGTAGGAAATAAAAAGGATGCGGCATGCCGTTCTAAATTTTCTTAAGATAGTTCGTATTGATGTTTCCAAGATAACAAATGAATAGTATTTAAAATCACAATTGTCATTTGCCATTATATAACGACCAATGTGACTTAATGGTTATACTAGTTGCCTAGCGTGGGAAGAAAGAGTCCCGGGTTTGATCCTGACCTGGTCACAGAACTAGGTCTACCCCTTGACCTACAGTAAGCCATTAAAGTAAATATACTTACTTTCAGGGTCATTTTCATCGATGAGTGCCTGCAGTTCTGAGTCGTCAAAGAGTTGACCCATTGTGTTCAAGATTGTGGAGATTTTCAGGACGTCAATGTATCCTGTCTTGGTAGTGTCAAACATTTGGAAGGCCTTGCGCAGCATGGCCATTTTCTGCTCATCGTCAGAGTCCTATAAATTTAATAAATCACAATTAAAATACTGCATGTTGAAACCATGTTTAAGTTGTTATGAGTTTAATATTCATAAGTATTTTAAAAAATGATTCCAAATTCGAATCCTGAAAAGTCAGTTAAGATTTCCAACGATTCCACTACTAATTTTAATATTAATGAAATTCAAAATCCGAATCCTGAAACATCCGTTAAAATTCGAAATCATTCCAGAAAATTCCACTATTTCTAAGCACACACTTCACTTTCACTTATCACTAATAATACATTCGTCTCACCATTGTGTTCTAAGGATATGCAATGCCGTAACAAGAACCGAATCCGAGTGCGAGTGTTGTTACACTGAAATTCACATTCATCTGCCACCCCTATTTATAGACCATCCATGAACCACACGGGAATACGAAAATAAGCAAAAAAATACTCCCCGCTCTTTCATTTGTAGACTACTCGTGACGTTTTCGTCGTCATCCAGAAACGTCAGTTGGAATGGACGATTTAAATGCAACCTCCGGAAACGGGTTGTCATCATTTTTCTGTTATTTATCGGTGAAAAACTGGCAGAACGCCACTGCATTAGCTTTTAACAGGGGATAAAGGTTTATCTAATTATCGCGTCCACTTATGTGGCATAATCATTTAATGACGCTAGACGAAATATATTAAAAAGAAAACAAGATTATTCTTTCAAGATTTATTGTGTAAGTTAATTATAAATATCTAACAATTGTATTAGCTTTAAGTAACGCTGACCTTGATCTTAAATATAAGTTTAACTCCTTTTATTTAAAGTAAACTTGGGGCAAGGTTTTAGTATTTTATGTGATACCTAAAATAATAATTTTGTATAGGAGTTATAGAATTATTGTAATCAGTTAGACCATGCTATTACTAGAAAATATGAGAACCCAATTTATTCCGTATGACATAGGTGATACGATGTTATAGACTAACCACTTTTCCTTCGCTGAAATTACACAAGAATAAGCGAGACAAACGAACCGTATTTAATAGATATTAGGTCCTTTACATAGTATTCTTAATAATCTATTATTATATTTTAAGTGTTATCCAAAGTTAGTAACTATACACATTTAATCAAACACTGTTAACAGTTTAAATTGTAAAATATATTCTTATAGGTACCTACGGGTCGGGTCAATGTCAAGAAGAAATTAACTAATTTATTTTGCGCTTTTAATCGTTTTTTTTTTAATTTAGATTTATCGATAAGGTTATTATTTAAGTGTAAATTTAATATTAATTGCTCTATTTAGCTTCTTAATTTAAATTATTGTAATAATCAGTATTCATATACAGTTCTCCCTCAACGTAAACACTCGTTTCACTACGTAAGTATACCGAATGAATGTGGAGGTATTTGGGTAAATAAACAATTTAACAGATCGCCTCAACGTCGACCGTGAAATATTATTAATTCAGGTATTTTCAACCGAACGTATCAAAGACGCTCGCGTTAATGTTTTCCAGATATCGTTTCAACTATAATATGCCACTGCTGGGCATGGGACTCTTCTCTCTTCTTAGAATTATTAAAGATTGAGGAGAACATACGTGGTATGGGGCTCACTGGATGGTAGATGATATACCCAGCCTATGGCATCTAAACGAGATGCGATGTCGACCTACTTTGTCTTTGGATATTCGGAAATCCATAGGCTTTTTCTTCTGTGGACGGTGTCTGTTATGTCCGTGTCCGTTGAAGACGAAGCTCAGCATGATTCAGAAAAATTATAAATTAGCAGCTTTTAGAATCTTGAGCCCACCACTTTAGTAAAAATTAACGGGCGTTGTTGATGACCATGAAGTGACGAAAAGTTGGACAAATTATCGCACCAATCAGTGCAGGTCTTGTAGTAGTACACTCATGTACTACTACAAGACCTGCACTGACCGACAAAGCCGTTACAATTCCCCACATTTGCTCTTAAGCAAAATTCGAATTCAGAACAGGAAGTTACTTAAAATAATATAAGGAATCGTCATTTCACTGAAAATATCATGAAATGTCGCGAGTTCGGCGTCGCTTGTGTTCAGATATTGCAAACCTTTTCGTACTTAAGTAAGAGAATAAATGTCCTTCGAAATTTGAAAAAGTACTTAACTATCTATTTATTTTGTAACCTCCAAAACCTTTCGAGTATTTTTAACAGTGAAAACGGCTCTACCCGATATGATGTTGAGTAAAAGCACCTGCAGGGTACCTATTATTGTTAGTTAACGTAATCTACATTATATTCAGACTAGCTAAATTATAGTGCAAAAACTCCCAGAATATTAGTAACTGCCAAACTACAGCGCTGTAATTCATCTCACCGCCATGTGTTATATGTTTACACTTAAAGATCTTGTGCTGCATACCATTTAACAACATCCTGAATAGCAAACTAAACGAATGAGTTGGGATGGAATGTTTTCACAATATTTTTAATCAATTCACTTATGAGTTGTTAATAATAAATAAACAGAAACATAGTTAATACGTTATTGGTAGAATTAAATTGATAGCTTGTGTTCAAACCTCAAAGCTATTTTTATATATTCGAAATTTCTTCAGTAATTGAACATCTAAACCAGATGCACTGACCTATTTTGGCTTCGTTTCTTTCATTCATATGTTTCATTCTTTGTAATTTTGGCTTTTGGCTATGTAACAAGAAAGAGCCCGTTTGTTGTAACGCCCTTAAATATTGAATGCATTTTTAGTATTAATTGTAACAACAGACATGTGTAATTTGTAGAAATTTTACTATCGAATCATCACGATTCTGGGGTTATCAGATGCTGATATTCAGGGAAGTTTAAATAATGGGGTCTTCTTCTTAGGCTTTTTATGAATTTGTGGTATGAAAACCAAAATATAACATCAATATAGAGCCCCAAAGAGAATACTCTCGCAATTAATTAACCTGTGAATCCGCGACAATAAAACACATTACAATTTTAATGATAACACTGCGGTTGCCAAAATGTCACGAACATTGATACTAATGTGGATTCTGAAAATATATCAATTGTCGCTCTGGCAGATTAGGAAAACGTTAAGAATGAACATGCGTCACAGTTTGCCACCTCTGGCGCGTGCAACCAGTTATACGGCGCCGCGTCTGCGCAGATATAGATCGCCATTCGCCGGTGATCGACTATAATTTTTGTGCGCCTTCTGGTAGTTAGACAATGCGATGAGCCTCGGCTTCAGCGCCCACGTGGCTTGCGAAAATCTCACTGACCTACTTTTTTACCACCTTTATTTTCGGAGTTTTTCACATCTTTTGTTTCAAGCGTTTAGTACTTGTGTTTTTTTATAGTCGACAAATAAGTAAGGGATATAGTTTATGCTGTTTTACCATTTCATTGAGGTGATTAGTTGCGCGTATCGAGGTTTTCTTGCTTTCTGCTAAAGTACTTACGAGTATAAAAGATAACTTGTCCTACTGTATTATATTATTTCTGATTGTTTAAATTATAAAGAAAGTTAACAAGGAATTATCATATTTTTTTAAATTATAATATTCGTATTATTAGATTCTAGAATTGTAGGTTAATTCAAATGAAATACTTATAAAATACAATTTAATTGTCATTTAAGATTTATGTTAGACTAACTACATAATAAGCATAATCTAGATTATGTTACAGTGAGTATATTCGTTGGTTGACATATATAGCGTTCGTTCATTTGCCTTTTGAAGCGAAAATACGCACAATACAAAAGATATACGGAATACCTTGGCTTCTTAATACTATTCCTGAATTTACACTTGTGAGTTATAAGTTATTTATATCGATTCGTCCGTGCGTTGATGTAACTGTTTGTGGAGAATATTAAATTGACGTTCTTCATCTAGAGAATGGGTGTGAATCTTTATTTGGATATGGTGACTTTCTGTAGCTTTTTTTTTAGCCTGAACTATTTCTGGTGAGACAGACGTGTTTGTAATGAGATTGAATGTATAGCAGACGTAATGTATATTTAAATGCTGTCTATAGTTTACGCGAGTAGTACACATTTAAATAAAACACTTTAACGGTTTAAAACGCGATATATTAGTTAAACTTATTTGAAAATGATTTTTAACTTCGGCCCGACGTTTCGGATGCCTTGCAGCAGCCGTGGTCACGGGGAGACCACGGGGACGGGAAAATCATTTTCAAATAAGTTTACTAATATACGTTTTAAACCGTTAAAGTGTTTTATTTAAAGGCTGTGCTAATTAACTACTTATAAAGATCTAAATATTATATAAATAACAAACTTTCGCTTCTTGCAGTCCTTAAGAATTAACAGCGAACGTGTTTCTGAAACATGTTGGACTTCGTCTGGAAATCTGGATGTGTTTCGGTTTTAATCTATGGATTTCCGAATATCCAAAGCCAAAATAGGTAGACAGAACATCGAGTGGATGTTATATGGGGTATTTCTCCTACCTATGTTTGTCTGTCCTACTCTAACATTAAAGAAAAAAGTGCTTTGTAAAAACAATTTTGCCCAGCAAGATATTGAATAGTTATATAATATATAGCTATATAATAAATTTATAATATAAAATTGTTGTGTAATTATTTCGCTATAAAAGAAATCAATAATATAATACTTAAAGACATTAGTATCGTACAACTTTTCTATGTCATTCGTTGAAATAGAAGTACAATTGATTTGGATCGATCCTAAATTTATTCCCGTTCGTATATTTTACGTCTTAATGATCTAAAAATATAAAACAATGAAAACAAACACACATTCGTGACTCAGTAAAATTATAAATGGATGGCAATTTTGAGTATTCTATCCGAGGTGCCAAAATTATACATAACGCCGCTATAGACAACCACAAATATTACAATGTAGGCTATTTTTAATTTATTAATTACATCGCGTTGAAATGCTCAAGACGACAGTAGTTTTAATGGACGTTGATGTATAGCGCGTCATGTTAATTACAGATGTAAACTACGATTTATGTACCCTACTATCGCCGTGGTTCAATGGTGCATCAACAAGGGAAAGGAAGTTAACTCTAACACAATTTCAATCCAGATAAAAAAATCTCTTAATTTTATTTAAATTATTGTCTAAAACAAAAAGCACACCTTTTTTTTTATAAAGTTTACTTTTTTTGAAGTTATTATTTGATTTCTTAAAATAATGAATGCCATTCAATTTAATTTAAGAAGACTAAACACACATAAACGATTATAAATGTTAAAACTGTCTGTAGTTTACACGGGTATTACACATATAAATAAAAACGTACTAGCTGAATGGACTCCCTTTTCAGAGGCAACTGTACTATTTAATTTTAACTGTATTTATATGTTGATAAACATAATGTTTGTAATATTAGTTTTGTTATTGTAAATTTATGTTATTAAATTTATGCTATTCTATTCTAAATAAAACACGTTAACGGTTTAAAACGCGATATATAATAATTTAACTTATTCGTGGTTGGTCTTTACTCCGTTCCATATTCTCGTGACCACGATTGCTGCAAAGCTGAAACGTCATGGCGTAGTTAAAAAAAATTAAATAAATTCAAATAAGTTTGAGTAACAAATATCGCATCTTAAACCGTAAAAGTGATTTATTTAAATTATAAATTAAACTAAATCTGTTTTAATTCGGTTGTAACGTTGATCTATAGATCTTCTTGAATTAATCATTGATACCCAAGTGTCAAACGATGACTTCGGAGTTCCAAATCATCGCTTAGAACGACGCGGAAAACGCAAATAGCAATAATTGTATTTTGGCAAAGGTCTACTGTCAATTTTTTGCTCAATGACTGATGTGAAGGTGCCAAGAACGGTGCATTTCAAATAGCTCTCCGGTACTGCGATAGCTATATTATACGTTGACGTGTCGTATCGACTGCAATTGAGCGTTCAGAGGTGATTTATTCGTGTCTAAACATAATTGGATGACAAGTGTCGAATCGACCAGAACATTTTGATAAGTGAGAGTTGTTTATGAGGCGTCGCTAAAAGTATACTTCCGTTGGAAGCGGAACTAGATACACATAGAGTGTATTTTAGTCGGCGAAAACTTAAAGTCGCTTAGTTAATGGCACAATATATAGAACGGCCCTAACTCTGCTCACGAACTAACCCAACTCAACCTACAGTGTCTTAATTGCGAGTACTTGAATCAATGCATTTTCAGTATTACGTTTACCTTTATAATTATTTTCCAGAAGGAGAAATACTTCCAGAAGAAGTAAAACACATTTATTTTTCATGTAATTATTAAAAGCGAGCGGTGAAAATGTATAAGCGTTTACTTCTCGAAACATGTATTATCTTATTTCGATACCAACCTAATAAACTTTTTAACGGATTTAAACGCGAATTATTTGTAATTATGCGACGTGCCGTGGACACTCAAGCTTCTTAATAAATAGTTTTTGTTAACTTTAGGTTTAAATTAAAAATGTGTTTGTATTGAAAAATAACAAAAGAGGCAGGATTTGAACCGGCTTCCACAGTGTTTAGTGCTGCTGCTCTAGCGTCACATCCCAAGTCCTTCTCGTAAAATATTGTTTAACCCAAATAGACTTTTAATTTATAAAATGCTCCATGTGCATGTGAAAAATGTTAAAATTTTTAAACTTTATTCTTATATTATTTTTGATATATTATGTAAAAGGTCAAATAAGTATTTGTATCTTAGTCAGCATTTATTCAGACTTAATTTATTAGGTAGTATAGTAGATTTGCAGCTTCCAATTATTAAACTAATATTACTCTTAAGTGAATACTAAGCAGTCAATAGTCTAGTTTTCTACATCAATTGTTTTCTAGCAATAGTTCTTGCTGATTTCTTAACAGAAATCAACATAACCAGGATTAAATAAACAAATAGTCTATGTTAAGAAGAGCCTTGTAATCGGCTGTAAAAATACTTCTGTTTGTGTTCTAGCCGTTGTCGCGGGTAGTGAACGATGATTTTTTAAATTTTCCGCGATGAAAATAGGGAAAGCGTAACATCTTTGTAAAATATTTGGCGATCGTCCAGAAAAACTGATAGGAATCGTGAAATAGCGATAATGTACTTGGGCCAGTCTGGACTTGTGCCTGTTTTAATGGATTTTTGAGATCAATGAAGTAGGTTCTGCAATGTTTTAATAGTGATATTTCTGGAATGCTTGTTTGATCGTGTTACATTCATTCATGATTGTTTCATTCAAGATATTTGGTGAACAACGCTACAGTTAACGCGAAAATTGAAAACTGATTGCATTCAAAAGATTTTTTTATGTAGGTACTTACTTAATTTTTGCGGACAAAATCCTTTATATTTGTAAAACAACAAATATATGATAAATAATTTATTTCCAATAACTTAAAAACACTGACACTACATCTAACTAATTTAACAAAAAACAAGAATTGACTAACAAATTAAAAATTAATTCTATTCATATACCCTTTCATCAGATTCAATTTCCTTAGGCAATGGCTTCAAAATTATGTTAAATATAGTGGGATATCTCCTTCTAGGCGATTCTAATAAATTCACCGGCTCTACTTTTAAATCGCTCTCTTTCTCAATTTCTTGTATTGTTTTATCAAGTTCTGAGATGATAATGTTTGAAATATCCTCATCCTCATCGCCCTTATTTATAACCTTTTCTTTGGTTATGACTTTGTTTAAGTCTAGATTATCATCTTTTTTGGTAATAACAGTATATTCGACGTTATCGTTGTTCTCATCAGATTTAGAGTAAATTTTATTAAACTCTAAATCTTTTTTTGTATCGAGGGATTTATCTGGTACAGTTCTAATTGTATCCTGTGTTCCAATAAAAGAAGTATCTTTTTTACCATATTGCCCTTTGCGTGATTTGTAGTCAAACTTATCTTTTTTCTGAGTAAACTCAGGTCTTGCTACTAGGGACAAAGGATCGTCGGACATAATATCATAATCCATATCGTCAACAGTGTCCCACTTCCTTTCTCGGTTGTAACCTCCACCTGCGCTGTAGTTAGGTTTACTCTCGATTTTATGAGTTATAATGATATCTTTCACTAATGCGTTTGGAAGATTAAATAACTCCTGAATCTCTATATCCAAGTCCAATGGATATCCAGGAGAAAGAATAGCATCATAGTTCAATTGAATGTTAGATTTTGTTCCTCCTGGAGTAGCTTTGACGTAAGGGGCTACAAATACGAATAATTGGAAAGGTAAACCATCACTACTTCCCTTTGGTAGTATAAGTCGAGAAGGAAATCCAATCTGATTCTTAACTAAGTTTAGAGATAATGCATCTACTCCAAACTCTGTGTCAATTACATTCTTGTGCACTGTTCGCAAAGGCGCGAAGTCATCTGATAAATTGTTGATTTCACTGGATGATCGTGTAATAATATTACTTCCTCTTTTCAAATTTATTTCAAAGCTATCAATCAACATAAACAACTTCTTATGTTCAGTAATTTCACCCGGCATCACTTTTGGCCCTAAGTATAATTTGACAAGTCCCTTTTGCACAACTAATGAAGAAATATTGACTTTAATAGCAAACGGCTTATGATTTAGTCTAGATTGACTTATTTTAATTAGAAAGTTACGATCTTTGTCGCCATACTTCAATGCATCTGTCACGTCAAACTCAAATTTCTCGAAGGATGTTATCATTTTTTTGGCATCAATATTTGTGACTTGGACTCCGGGGAAGTAAAGTTGGTTTTTTGTATAACCTGGCAATACTTTTAATGCGTTGTTTATGAGATCAACCATCTTTTTATTAATCTTCCAGAAAATAGGATCGCGCATCTTCGTCATGTAATGATTAAGGGCACAAGGAGGGCTGCAAAAAAACAGTTGTTTAATTAATGAAATTTAATAACAATCATAGGAAAATAACATAAATATTTTTTACATACCTGTTTACTGGTGTGTCACCAACTACCTTCATGGCTAAATTAATGTAGCTATTGTTATTAAATACCATAATATCCATTAAGTGACTCAGAATTGTCGGTTTGTTGAAACCACCGTCTCTCTGTAAATATTTTCTCTTTAATAAGATTCATACATAATAATGGCAACTTATAAATTAAAAAAATAATGTACTAATACAAAATTATAAATCGTACCATGTGTGATACCGTAGTAGCAAGATTATTTTCTATATTCTTTAATGTCGTAATGACATCACTATTAGTCATAGTATTTTCTGTACGTGGACTGAATTCGTTGCCATTCGAATAAATAAGCATTGGATCATATTGAGTTACGTCCATGTCATCCCAATTTATTCCATCCGTTTCATATAACTCATTTGAGTACCTTTCTAAATTATATCTTGCCATTAGCTGTCTGATGAAGTGATAGATATGTTCGCCGTACCTTACGCTACGCTGAAACTCAGTGTCTACCCACGGCATGTTTTTAAGCTTAGTTAAGAAGAAGTAAGCGTTTAAGCCAATATCCTCGTGGAAATATGCCAATGACGAGTCTTCAATGCCTTCATAAATTTCCCTCGTATAATTAGTGTCCAATACGAAGTTATTGCCATCTTCACGAATACCTTCAGTCGGCGCAATGTCTTTTCCAGCCATTATCGTTGATGCTTTGATAATGAAATCTTTTCTTACAAAATAATTTGGTAATAATTCATAGGGTGCAGGCACGGATACCCTCTCCGTATCTTTTCTAGTAATGATTGCAAGGTAAATGGCGTCGATAAATACACCGCAGTTAACATTCTGTCGGGCCCAACACGCTGCTCTGTAGAACGTATCAAAGTCCTTTGCATTATATAACAGTTCATATATAACTCGGAACTCGTTGAAATTATCTTCATTTGTTTCTGTGAATATTTCGCCTTTAGCCAGAAGACCTCTACTTGATTTTAAGTTTTGGTACTTATCTATTACATCTGGTTTCTAAAAAAAAACTTACTTGAATATTTTATAATAATATTAAAAATCTTTTCATATGAGGGTAGTAGGTAGCTTACCAAGTAATCTGTTGCTTCGAAATTAAACTCATTGCTAATTTTCACTATTTGTGGATCAGCGCTCTCCTCACAAACGTTCTCAAACAACGGCAGCATTAACTTTTGGATGTGAACCCATCCCAACGGTGCTGAGAAAATAAAAGAGCAAATAACAGATGCTTGGAAATGTGAATAAAATGTAATAACAGTCTTAAACGTAAAAAAGTAACGCCTCGTAGATTCTGTCTTCCGATTTTACGGCATATGGAAGTTGCTTAAGTACTTATACTATTAAAAAGGTGAACACTTTTAAACATTTAAATAAAACACTGTAACGGTTTAAAACGCGATATATTAGTTAAACTTATTTGAAAACTGATTTTTAACTCCGGGCCGACGTTTCAAACCGTTGAACTCGCGTAAACTATAGACAGTATTAAACACTACACTTACAACTTTAAACAGTAACTTTATTTATTAAATAAAAATGTATATTGTAAGGTGAGCACTAAGCAAAAATTGTAAATGTAAATAACCCCTCAGATTGTCCTAAATTATCGTACAATATCCAAAAAAAAAAATATTGAAAATAGATTTAAACTTATATCATGCCATCAAATGTGAATAATATTATGAAGTTTTCAAAATTTCAAAGGCTTACCAATTCGCGGCTTTGTAGGTAATGTCGGTACTTTAATTAAATAACCGAAGCAATTAGCACAAAAGCCTACTAATAGCAGAACAGTTAAAGTCTTCATTTTCGAACAAATACTGAGTTTCGTAAGGAGAGTCGTCCCTTAAATACTTAGTATGGCCAAAACAATTTAATTTAATTATCAAACAAATGCAGTTGAACGTACTAATTATTTTATTACACAATGTATATTGAAAAGGCGAAGATTATGCGGTCAATAATCCTAATACCTTTTTGGTTTAGGGTTCTGTAGATTTACAATAGTCTTTCTATAGTGACTATTCTATACTGTTTACTAATAAGTTTTACTTTTTGATGGGAATAAATAAAAACAATACCGATACTGATAGACACCGATCGTAGTATTATTTATATTTATTTTGTTTTTTTTTGTGATAGACGAGGACATCCTTTAGATTCAATTTATGGAAGTTGAAATACCCCCGCAAAATAGCACCTCAACAAGGTGCTGTGTCGACCTATTTTGCCTTTAGATATTTGGAAATCAACAGACTACTCTTACATCTGTGGATGGTGGTTCGTAAACCGAATTCGGATCGAACAGAGGAGATCCCACATGTTTTCGGAAAAATTATAAATATTTTAGATGTTGGACCCGGTGTGAAGTCCGCGCCCCGTTGATACATTGCTACCATGAGACCAATGGGCTCGTCAAATTATATAAGATAGAAAAAGAGATGGTATAATTATTTAAATAAAACAGTTTAATGGTTTAAAACGATATATTAGTGTGTTTATGTCTCCCCGTGACCACGGTTGCTGCAAAGCATCCGAAACGTCGGGCCGAAGTTAAAAATCATTTTCAAACAAGTTTAACTAATATATCGCGTTTTAAACCGTTAAAGTGTTTATTTAAATGTGTACTACTCGCGTAAACTATAGACAGTATTTTGGTATAATTATGTTAACGTATCTTGTAATTTTTTTTAAAACAACCTGAATTGATTATGGATTGATGTTTGTATGAAAAAAATCCAAATTAAAAAGGAAAAGTCAACTTTATAATTCTTGCTTTAAAAATGATTTATGCACAATGATAAAGTCCTAATAATATTATTTTTTTATTATAAAATGGGTCCCTGTTCTTCTATTATTTATTCACGGATTAAATTAGTTACTAATTAATTAAACATTATAAGGGGTCACAACTCTGTAATTATTATTGAAGTCTATCACACTTTTTAAAAACAAAACACTTCAACTTATCTTAGAGGTTATCACATATACAATGATTATAATGGGTACGAATTTTCAAGCGCCAAACGAAGACAGTTTCCAATTGTAAGATTTTGTTAACTTACTACCGTCTATAGCACTTATTTGGCGATAGAAAAGATTTAGGTTTTATTAATGTTACTTTTTTATTTTTATTATAATGGTATTGAAAAAACGTAGATGTTTAAGGTATTAAAAACAGGCATAATATTGATTTTAACAATTGATGAAAGATGTTTTGTAAAACATTTGAGAGAAATATTTCTTTCAGTTTTTTTTGTTTCTTTAGTGTATGCCCAACTCTATAATTGATTCTATTAAGAATTTAGTCCCCCGTGACCATGGCTGCTGCAAAGCATCCAAAACGTCGTCGGGACAAAGCTAAATTTCTAAATAAGTACAAGTACATTTCGCGTTTTAAACCATTTAAAGTGTTTTCTTTAATGTCTACTACTCGTGTAAACAACAGGCAATACCTATGGCGACTTTGCCGTCTTAGGTACCGCGATTTCTATATATGTTACCTTAACAATATACTCTAATAACAAAATAAAAGAAAAACCTTTAAGTTGGGCTATCATATAAAAAAAAATATTCAGATTGACATCCATAAATGGTACTGGCACCAGAGGGGTAAAAGTAAAATTACAAACAGAAAAAACAAATATAATTTATGCACCTTGTCTGACGGAACCTTTTATCCCAGACTACGACTCGCACTCAGCTGTTTTTATTTGTAATGATAATCTTACTGATAACATTAATAACACAAAAAGTATATTTTCTTTCTACGCCACCTAGAAGAACTTTTACAAATCATGTCAACAGCTTACAAAGTGATTGAATCTGGTTTAGTCCAGCGGTTTAGTAGTTTCAAGTTTCGTTTGCTAGAAATTCTAGATGGCGTTAGTAACTCAATAAATGACAATATAATTGTAAGGAACCATTAATTAATGCAGATGGACGATGGTGGAGTAAAAACAATGATATTACGCTTGTGGAGACTGGAGATACATTATTACTCCACTGTTTTATAACAAATAATTAAGGCACCACAGAGATTGATTAGTCTTTTGTTTTTCTTTATTTTTTTTTTTAACTGTATTTAAGCTGACAACTGGACCCAGTCATTTACGTGGACATTTTCTAACTCAGTCATATATTACACCGTTATATCTAGAAAAAGAATATAATAAAAAAGTAAAGCCAAATTAAAAAAATAAATAAAAAACACCTACTCATCCTACTACCTTTTGTTCTACTCACGTACAAAAATATAAGTAGCAATTTCAATTTGAATATATAGTGTATACAGTTTGAGGTCTGGGGAAATTAATTATTTCACATCAGAATAGCTAAATACTTAACAGTGCATAGAATGAATTAAGAAGTAAACATTGGTGTAACAAATAATTTAATGTTTTACAAGATTTGGGTTAAACTACGTTAAGTAAAATAATAAGGTCTTTAACGCCGGTTTACTTAATACACTAGTTGTCCGTTTTTGATTAAAAAAGTCTATTCGTTCCAAGCTATCTGTTGCTCGAATTGCTTAACTTAATTTGTGAAACGCGAGTACATATCTACATTTATATGTTTTATATCAACAAAACTTAAATTGAATTATCTTATTATATTAAATGAACAGAAAAAGTATTAACTTTGCTTTATATTTGTATGTAGGTTTCTACCTTCATCACATGGTTTTAATATGTCAAGCTTATAGTATTAATTATTGTTTAGGAAATTATTATTGCTTATTATAAAAGTAGAATTCTCAATTTTAAATAAATATTGCTTTGTGATATTTGTTTTGTTTGTTTCAATAAATAAATAAAAATTTCATTAAATCACATTCCACATGACATTTTTGATTTTATCAAGGCACTTCAAGAGGTAAACAAAAGAACATAGCATTATTTTTTAAAATATTTATTATCATCACATGCTATTTAAAATCGAAGTCAGCCGTAAGGTTAATAATATACAAACGATTAAATCAGAAGTACATAACATAGGTACATTTTAAACATTCGTGTGAACGTCGATATCATCTACGAAGTAATCGTCAAAGCCTCCTGGGAATTTAATGGTCATATCGTAGTTTCTAAGCACATAACTGTCCCAACGTGTCTTCATGTCGCACATTTGAGCCTTGTGGAAGATTCTGATATCAATGAACTTCATGTTTGGTGTAAAGAACTTGCCCATATCGACTTCACGGTCGAACGGAAAACCGAGAGGCATCTTGTCCAGAAGGACAGTTGACCTGAAGTCCATGAAATTATCTTTACGGTACATTTCAAACATGGTCATGTCAATGTTTTCAACCAATTTCAACGGTGAGACGATCACGTAGAGTAGCATGTCCATACCGCCGATACGTCCCTTAGGTAAGATCAGTCTTGATGGGAAACCGGTGTGCCAATTCTTGAAGTCCTTGAAGAACATGTCTCTGAAGTCGTTGACAGTGTTTATTTTACCCCAGATGTCTCTCGTCATCATTCTATCACGGATAATGTTGTGCATATCCATCGAGTTCCTAATGATAGTGTTCTTTCCAGAGTTCAGTTTGTAGTAGAAAGAGTCAAGCTCTACAAAGTTTACGCGGTTCCTGTTCAAATCCATGACACGACCCCACTCATCCATCTTGGGCCCAATGAACACTCTTATCATACAGTCCACAGTCTTGTCAGACATGATGTCGAAACTGAATTTGAATGGTTCGTGGTTAAGGCGGCGTTTACGGACGAGGAAGGTCATATCTGATTTGCTCTTCTTAAATTCATCGTCATTAAGGATGACAGCATTAGTCATGTCCATGAAGTAGTCGTCAAAGTAGGTGACCAACTTGTCGACGACAATGTTGTCGATCTTAACTCCGGGGAAGTACAAATCTTCGTGGGTGTAAGAAGGAAGACGCATCTTGAAGAGGATGAACATGCGGCAAAGGCGCTTTTGCAGTTGATAGAAGACTGGGTCGCGAAGTGCTGTCTGGTATGTGTTCAAAATAGTTGGGGCAACGAAGTATCTGTGAAGAATTTTGTTTTTTTATTTATCCCAAGATACAACAATAAATTAGAACAGACAATAACATTTATTTATATATCACTATGTTCAAACCAAAAAATAAATAAACAATACGTTCATTATTGAAATTGCTGGAATAATGTAATGTAACTATATTTAAGTAACTTTTCAGATGATAAAGAAATAAAGAGATTTAAACGAATCTAAGTAAAACAATGAATTGTGTTTTTAATTATATTTACATACTTGTCACTGGCCCAAGAGTGAAGTCCAATTGACTGCATTAGGACTAGCATGTACCGGTAGGCTTCAATATGTCCTTTATTGATGTCAGTTCTTTCATCAGCACCATAAATAATTTTTCCTAATTTTTCTATATCTTCTGGCTTATTCAATTCGTAACGAATGCCGTTCATCTGAAAATATTACATTTATTTTATACACCTACATTCTGTTTTGAAAATAACTTTTTCAAAGAAAATTTGATTAGTATTTTACATTTTCCTAGTGATTTACTAGGAAGGATACCTACGTTTGTTCTTCTAAGTAATTTATACCGTACCTCAATAAATCCTTTAATGATGGCCTCGTTGATAATACTCTCGTAGTTCTCGATAAGTTTAATCGACTCTATATTCTGATCTCTTATAATAAGGTAATCATTGTATCTGTTCGGGAAGGACATACCGTTGTGCATCATCAACCAGGGCCAGTAACCCTTTCTGATTGGTTTGTACCATGACAACATTGTAATGTCTCCCATACCGTTAGACAAACGTTCAAGATAGTACCGGGCCAGAATTTGCTGGTAAACGTACATAGTCATTTCCCATCTGCGGCTCATGTATTTGCTATTGAAGAAGTCATCCTTCATCCAGAATGGGTAGTCAACGTGGAAGTAGTAATAGTATGTGTTGAGATCAATATCCTCCGTGAAGTATCTCAGCCTGTCCTCATCGTTCAACCACACTCTCTTGTCGAAAATGTTTTCATCGATAATGTATACGCCCTTTTCTGTCTTCTTAATTCCGTAGAAGTGACTCAACTTTCCATCAAGCATACCCTTCTTCATTTTCAGTAAGTACGCCTTTTGAATGACGTCGGATCTCACGAAGTAGTAGGGGTAAATTTCGTAAGGTGGAGGGAGGATGATGCCCTTGCAGTCCTCGCGGTGACGCACCGCAATAGTCATAGCATACACAAACATGCCTTCGTTCATGTACATACGCATCCAGCACGCAGTCCTAATAAAGGTGTCAAAGTCCTTTGCGTAGTACAGCATATGGAACATCGAAACGACTTCCTTAAGTTGTCTGTCAACATGAATGGTGAAGACTTCGCCGCGAGGCAGGAAACCGAATTTCATATAGTTCATGAAAGTTTTCACTACATCTTGTTTCTGAAAATTAACATTTTATTGTTAAAGAAAAATACGTATACCTCTCAAGACTGATAGAAGTGTGAACTAATCAGACTATCACGTCCAACTGAGTTTCTTCGTAACGCTTTACGTATGTAGTATTGTTTAACTATTGTGTACTCCAGATGAAAAATACTCACAATGAATAAGTCGATATTCTCTTCAATCTTGAAGTTTCTGCCGATGTCCACAATCTCCTTGTAGGATACTGGCTCCAAGATGTGGTTGAACAACTTGAGCATAAAGATCTGGCGCTCTTTGATGTCCGTAGGAACTAAAAAGGATTTGATAGAAAAACAATGTTAGAAGATATGATTAGTATAAACTATAATGACGTCATGTTAGATCAAGTTAGTTCTGAAAAAGAGTTCTGGGAGCTACATTCTCCAAATGTGTATAAATATCTTACTTCTAAAGTCTTCAATAATGTCCACGCTAGGAACGGCCGAAGCCAGGGCAGCAAGCCCCAGCACCAAACAAAGGGCTGCTTTCATTGCACCTGCTCGTTTGTTAATGCCTGACAATTCTTTCTCCAACTCCACTATATATAGAAGATTTATTATTCCTTAACATAAACTGACCCCTTGTTGTTGGGTGATAAGTATCAGGGCACCTTAACAATTATTTACAAAAACTTTTATCTTAGAGAAATTGCATTATTATTAAAACATTCATCCAGTTATCTCTTGTTTGTTATAGCCGTTGCATTGGAGTTTCGACGACTTTAATTGGACAAAACGATAGCGATTTCCGATTAATTAACGCACATATAATTATAAGAGGTTTAATAACAGTTGCCAAGCTCTCGCTAAATCAGTACGATTAAAAAAAAATCGAGTAAAAAAATATATTTTTATTTTTAAAATCCTTTTGCAATTATAGTTTTATAAAAGGACTACTGGATTAATAAAATGAATAAATTTATCATTTAATGAAATATTTTCACATTTATTTTTTGTAGAGCAATGTCTGCTTATTGATAAATTGCTTAAACGCGAATATATTGCCGTGGATTAAATAAGGCTGTTTGTATTGAAAGTTAAGTTTAAAAAGCTTAACAAGCGACAGTATTTAAAAAAAGAACATTAATAATGTCTTATATACTTTTTTATTTTTTTTAATATGAAGGTATGGTATGGTATAATATTTATTGTCTTTTATAGTTATTCGTATCCATGGAACAGCCAATAACGCTCAATATAAATAGTAAATTTCATGCAATACTTCATATGTGTGTCAAACTATACACATATATAATATACACATTCGATTGAAATCATTGACAGGTCTTAAGTAAAAACTTATGTCAAATTAGTATCTTATAGGTACGGATTAAAAATATATTATAAATGCGTAGGACATAAAGTTTAAAGCCCAGGGAATAACAATGTTTACCTACTCAATTATCTTGTTTATCTAAGCATATTTAATGTGGAACATTAGACAATTTTAAAATCAGTAAGATTTTTCAATAATTCTTCGGAATGCGAAAAATTCTTTTTTTAACTTTTATCACCATTTATCTGTATAAAGTACCTAGATAGATCGTGTGTATTATTATGTGTGTTTATAAGAATTTTTAAAGTGGCAAGTTATTGAATATCTAAACGCTTTTCTTTTTGTATTAAACAAATACTTTTGTGCTTATTTATTATTATTATTCTAAGCGTTGTTATACCTACAATTTAAAATCACAATAATTAAATGTTTTATAAAATCTCTTCTCCAAAGTAGAATATTTTCAATTGTATGTATCTACGTAATTATTTCCCATCAATTTAAATATAACTTTTTCAGAATTATAATGTAACTGTAAATATAGCTTTACTTTAAATGGTCTTGTTATTGTCGATTATAAGATTAGTAATGTTATGAAAACAATATTTTGCAGTTAGCTATCGTAAAAATATTGTCCAATGTGTCAAGAATAAGAATGTTTTTAAGTTTTATGTTTAAAAAAAATAGAATTGCCTATAAATAGGTATAAAATTAAAATTTAATTTATATTCTTATACAAGTCATTCAAAAGAGTATTTTGTGATTATATGTTCCTATTCCTATTATGGAAATCAACTTCTTAAATATTTCTTTAAGCTGTGTGTGTAGTTATAGGAGTAACAGAAATTATTTTTTTTGTTTCAATACTCTAGTTATAGTGGTTCTTGAGAGAGACCCAGATGACAGACAGCTTAGTAAGATCCAATTGTTGCTATCGAGTAAGAATCATTACCTTAGGAAACATTTTTGTTTGTTTAAGATACGTTATGTTTTGAACTTGTTATTCAGATTTACATATAGAAAATATCTTTGGATAGAAATAAATAAATTTATTATAAATAAATAGCATTATTTATTAGCTAAAACCATATTTCATTTACATTTATTACTGCTTATCTAAAACTAAAGTTGCGTTATCCGTTATTCATACATATAGGTCGTTTTCAGTTTGGAATCAATTTAAAAATCGAACATGTTGACATCTCTGTCGTGCTTCACGTTAACGTCAACGTCTGTTAAGTAACGGTCGTCGACGATTCTGTCGTACATGTCGTAGTTCTTGAGCACGTATCTCTCCCAGCGAGTCCTCATGTCGCACACTTGAGTCTTGTGGAAGATCATGACATCGACGAACTTCATGTTAGGTGTGAAGAATTTGGACACGTCAATGGTGCGGTCCAGTGGGAAGCCGAGTGGCATCTTGTCCAGCAAGACAGTGGATCTGAAGTCGATTAAGTGGTCCTTGCCCTTGGTGTCAAGCATAGACATGTCCATGTTGTCCACGAGCTTCAACGGTGTGACGATCACGTACAGCAAGAATTTCATACCACCGACGGTACCCTTGGGGAGGACTAACCTTGTGGGGAATCCGGTGTGGTAGTTCTTGAAGTCCTTGACCCAGAGGTCCTTGATATCAGTGATGGTGTCAATCTTCTTAAAGAAGTCGGTCATCATGACGCGGTCGCGTACTAAGTTGTGCATATCATATGAGTTTCTGACAATGGTGTTCTTTCCAGTGGTCAGTTTGTAGAGGAAGGTGTCTAATTCGACGAAGTTGACACGGTTCTTGTTGATGTCAATGAGACGGCCGAGATGGTCTTCTTTAGGTCCCAAAAATACTCTTACGACGCAGTCTACAGCCTTGTCGGACATAATGTCGAAAGTCACCTTGAATTCACGGTGATTCAGACGGCGTTTACGAACGAGGAAGGTCATGTCAGATTTGGTCTTCTTTAATTCATCATCTGTGAATGTGACAGCATTGGTGATGTCCATTAGGTAATCATCGAAGTAGGTGACGAGCTTGTCTACGACGATGTTGTCGATCTTCACTCCAGGGAAGTAAAGGTCCTCGTGAGTGTAGCTAGGGAGGCGCATTTTGAAGAGCATGAACAGAGAGCAGAGACGTTTTTGCAACTTGTAGAAGACTGGGTCCCGAAGGGCTGTTTGGTAGGAGTCGAGGACTGATGGAGTCACGAACCACCTTAAAATATAAAATAAAAATATTAGAGTTTGAAAAAATATATAGTAGAGTCTGCTAATAGGTTTGACGTCGTATCATTTGAATATATCAGAACTAAACAATATCTCTGTCTAATTTTAAGTAAATATGTTATAATGTCAAAAAATATTTCTTTCTTCATTAAATTAAAAACATACTTGTCTGATTCTAATGTGTTGAGACCAACAACTGCCTTCATCAGGATAAGCATGTAGCGGTAAGCTTCAACGCGGGTGCGGTCTAAGTCAGTCTTGTAAACGGCACCGTAGATAAGTTTGCCCAAGTTTTCAACGTGTTTTGGCTCAGTCAATTCAAATCGTTTACCGTTGATCTGAAATCAATAACAGTTTTAATAATGTTTTGAATCAATATAAGATACAGCAAAGTTCCTTTATTTACCTCAACGAAGCCCTTGATGATGGCGTCATTAATGATTTTCTCGTAATCTTGGATAAGTTTCACAATTTCAACACTCTTGTCCTTGACTAGGATATGGTCGTTGAACCTCACAGGGAGCTCGAGACCGTTGTGGAGTTTCAGCCAAGGCCAGTATCCCTTTCTGATTGGCTTGTGCCAGGACAGCATTTTGATGTCACCCATACCGTTAGACAAACGTTCAAGGTAGTATCGGGCTAGGATCTGTTGGTACACGTATAATGTCATCTCCCAGCGTCTGTCGGTGAATTTCGTGGTAACATCATCCTTCATCCAGAATGGATAGTCAACGTGGAAGTAGTAGTAGTACGTGTTCAGATCAATATCCTCCGTGAAGTACCTCAGCCTGTCTTCATCGTTCAGCCAAACTCTCTTGTCGAATACGTTCTCATCGATTATGTATACGTCTTTGTCGGTTTTCTTGATTCCGTAGAAGTCACACAGTTTGTGGTCGAGGAGACCCTTCTTCATCTTGAGCCAGTACGCTTTCTGGATGACGTCACCGCGGACGAAATAGTAGGGGTAGATTTCGTAAGGGGGTGGGAGGATAATGCCCCTGCAGTCGTCACGGTGGCGGACGGCCACTGTAAGGGCGTAGACGAACATACCCTCGTTGACGTAAAGGCGCATCCAGCAGGCGGTCTTGATGAAGGTGGCGAAATCCTTAGCGTAGTACAGCATATGGAAGAGTGTGACCACCTCCTTCATTTGTCTGTCGATGTGTAGGGTGAACACCTCACCGCGAGGTAGGAAACCCTCTTTCAACAAGCCGATGAAGGTCTTGACGACATCTTGTTTCTACAACAAATGCACAACGTTAGTTTAAATAAAAGACAGACCATGTTACAAGAATTAGAACTGGTATATACAGTATACATACAACGTAAAGCTGGACATTCTCTTCAATCTTGAAGTTCTTGCCAAGATCTTCGATATCCTTGTACATGCATGGTTGTAAGATGTTGTTCAGAAGCTTCAGAATGAACATTTGCCTTTGTTTGACATCCCAATTGACTGAAAGCGATGGATCATTAAATATTGCATGAAAAATATACTCCTTACTTCAAGACGATTAAAGTAAGGACATGTTCTTTTGTTAAAAGTAAAGAGGACTGTGTACTGTTTACTACATATTGACTGTACTATAATTCCTATTGTTGTCCTGTTAAATGATCAAATTTACAATGAAATATTATTTGGAGTTTTATAAAAGACTAGTTTTTTGTAAGGACCAGGGATTAAACCATCACGAAACAAATCGGTTTCACATATCAATTTTATATAAATTACAATTTCTTACCGATCGTGGTATCGTCGATCTCAGGTCGGGCCGAAGCCAGGGCAAAGAGCCCCAATACGCAGAAGAGTACCTTCATCCTCAGCTATTCCACTCAACTGTACCTCCATCCTAAACCCATCCCATTTTATACCCAAAAATGTCCGAATTTGACCTCTTTGTTTATAGATAAAGTTTAAGATTGCAACAATGTAAGAACGATTTATTATTACTTTCTTCAAGTAATAGACACAATCTTCGAGAAAAATCCGTAAACATTAATGATATTCAATAACAGTGTTATCAAACATGCGCAATAATGCTAACACAAGAATTACCTGAAAGAAGCCTAGAAGTATTAAAAGCTAGAAATAATATAGAACAACATTTTTATGTTGTTATGCTCTCATAAGTCTTCTAACGAAACCAAATAATTAAAAGAGGTAAACAAGAAAGTGTGAAATCTTTCTTCCCAAGGTAAGAGCGAACAGGTTGCTGTGTACGTTCCACTTTATTTTCCCGATTCGAAACCAAGACCACTCGTGCCTTATGCCATAGCAACAACCACCAACCTGCGGTCGCAATATAAAGCTGAACAACTTGAAAACGCAAGCGAATTGGATGTGAAAATCTCACATAATAGGGATGTTGTCTTTTTTTGAAAAAGCGTTTTAAATTATAGATACGTTTAATCTTCAATATTACAAATATATTTTCGAACCTTTGAAAAGCCCTTAAAAGCTCTGATTGAATGACGTCACAACGTCGTACTGATAGTGGGGTTAACAAATAAAATTAACATAAGTTTTAAAGGCGCTGCGGAGTAGCTCTCTCTCTCTATATATATATATATGAAAACGTTACAAAGAAACACCTGAAAAGTTATTTACTTATGTTCCTCGATCGATAAAACTATTTTTTTAATACCAACAAAATCTATATAAATTTATTTCGACGATCTATATTTAAATATATCGTCGCAAAAATATTCTTTTCATACTGTCCATATCCCTCATTCTTAAAATGGTTCTGCTTATCCTTAGAATTTAATATAACCTTAAAACACCCTTCAACAGCTTCGAACAATTTTAATAACAACAAAGTAACAAATGTCACTCGTCTTCGACCTTTAACATTTACATCACAATATGAATGACAGCCTTTGCTAAATCTTTATTTTTTTGGTAGATTAGAGATTATGTCTTTTTATTACACTACCTACCCTAATAAGACAGTAGGGAACAAATTATAGATAATCGATGGCAAACAATAATCATTCTAGTATTTATTTTAATTTATTGTAATTTATTTTATTATGTCAATATAACATAACATTTTTACGGTGTGTGCATAATAAATATTATGAACTAATATACTAAAAATAATTATATGTATTTAAATTTAAATTTAGAACATTATAGCTAAATACATCGCAAAAGACAGATTACAGTCTTGTATGATATTCAAGTTAATTAGCGGTTTTACACAAACCTATATTGTATATTAAATAAAATGTCTTTAATACAGTTGTATTTAAAAGGTGTATGTATAACTTAGGTTGAAAATCCAGACATAGAAATCTATAACGAAATAGTAGAACCATTTTAATAAATAATCTAACCATACGCTAGTCCAAACTTTATTTTTCTTGGCACCATTACTCATTTGTATTGTTACGTATAATTAAATAAAACACTATTAATGGAATAATTATAAGTAAGTAAGTTAAATTATTACGGCCGGATGATTCAGATGCTTTGCAGCATCCAAATACCAACTGCGAAACTGATGGCGCTAGCAGATTTCATCTTGGGATTACAGACACCCTGCGTCTTCAGTCCCCGTGACCATAGCTGCTACAAAGAGCCTGAAACGAATACTAAAACTTTTAGTTTTTAGTGTTACTTTAGACAGTGTTTTATTTAAATGTGTACTAATCCTATAAATTATAGACAATACTTACGTATTATATTAAGTAAAAAGTTTACTTAACAAGAATAAAGTACAAACGATTCAATAAATACAAATACAAATTCTTTATTCACCAAAACTGTGTAGGTACATTTCACCACACTAGGATTTCCTGTGTCGTGGGCGGCTAGACTCTTCCGGTGCATTTCGAAAAAATCATTGGTATTGGTATTGGCTTTTTAATAAAAATACTTTATTGACTTTACTTAATTTTAAGGGAACCTATATTTGCTCTACGTCTTTTTTAGCCTACAAGCCAATTTCATAAGGATCACATGCCTCAAACCACGGCTAGTTGGTTATAGGCTTGCAATATCGCAAGCAAATAGGTGTACGATAACTTTCAATCCGAGATCAGCTTTGCAAGAGATTAATCTCACAAAATTACCAATAGAACAATCCATTGCTCGCTCGTAAATACGTTTCAAGAAAGACGAGCGTATAAATGTTGCAATGGACACTGTAAGTAATAATGGCGAACAATTATGTTCGCATACAAGACTATCTTGGATAACTGGTGGTAGGTAAACCTGAAACCCTTAAGCGTGAAATAAACTACTGGGTAGTTAAGGAAATTGATCAAAAGATGATATTCAAAGGGAGTAATTGGGAAGAGGAAGGTGCAAAATTAATGATTTATATAAGGACGTAATATTAGATTTCTTCACGACAGAGATCGCGAACATATTACGTAATTATTGATAAAATTAAATGCCATTATTTCACTTTATGATAGATTAGTTACCATTATTAACAACAAATATAAAAAAATATATATTTCTGGTCCAATTGTTACATCGTTACTGTTTAAATAACAATTAAATTGCATAGTTTACGCGAGAATGATATTGTTAAATGGTTTATAACACGAAATATATAAGCAAATTTAATCATAATAAAACTCAAATTAACATAATTTGCTTTTTAAACCGTTAATAATGTTATAATTAGTCTTCGCCTCTATTAAAGCTTTATATTTTATATTACATATATACTTCACGAAAAAATAAATATATTTAATATTAATTGAAAATTTTCAGTTGAATATTTAAAAAGTCTCTACAGGATTTGAACCTGGTATATCTGCTTGCATCTTAAGATGAACAATAAGTACTCAATCGAGAATCCAATCTAGTCTATTCATTTCCTAAGCTTTACAAACACCTACATGCGACCTGAAGATAGACAGCCCTCGATCTCATTACGTCCTCAATGCTTTTAACTCCAACATCTAAGAGCCAAGGGAACGTCGACCCTAATGTAATTATAATGAGAACGACGTAATAATTAAAGTTTACCGTTGTTTGTAAGTCCCTATTCGTGTAGGAAATAGAAGATTCACGACATACTTTGAAGTGCTTTTAATTTGTAAGGGACAAAGGTTGTATAATGTCTTAGATTCTCGCTACAAACAGATATTAGGAATTTATATAAAATTACAGACAATTCATATCCTGTTATAAATAACCTGCCCGCGTAGAATATACTTTAACTGTTTAAAACGCAAAATATAGCAAAACTTATTTGAAAATTATTTTGAAAGCAGTTTTCTATTTAAATTTTTACTACTCGCGTACAGTATTTTTTACTCGTATTATTTATTTTTGCAAACAACCTTCTTAGATGTATAATTTATAGCTGTTACCCACGACGTGATCGGCGACCTATCGTTTTGTAAGTTAATCTTTAAAGATATTATATTTTCGCTGACATTTTTGGATCGTTTCAGCAGGAGAGATTCTTTCTCTTAAGAAACCAAAAAAGATTATTGGTTTCTTAAACCGTTTTTCCCCATTGTTTTTTTTCACACTTCCCCCTGTTTCTTCTTTCCTGTTAGCAAAACCTGATTTTTATAGCCTTTTTAATAAATGGTCTATTCAACACACAAAAAATCAATTCGTAAATCCAGCTACACCCTGAGATTAATACGTTCAAACAAAGAAACACTTCAACTTTATAATATCAGTATAGATAGAGGGCAAAATGGATTTTTCGTAGTGTTGGAGTTGGATCACCAACTCTAAGAACAACTGTTTTTATCGTTGCTGTACCCAAAGTGGGCAAACAAAATAATAAAAAAAAACATATAAAGGTGGCTAAGAATGGAAAACAATATGTATACCTGGGATAGGGGTATTTTACCCCCATATTACTTTTAACATGATCCCAGAAATCAGCATATTGGTAAATAAGAAGACGCTGCTAGTGAGTTTTGCAAGGACCCGGCCAGTTTCGCCAAATACCAACTAAGACGGTACAGATGGCGCTAGCGTAGCACTTTCTACTTTGACATTAGGGACAACCTCCATCTTCAGTCCCCTCGTGGAAAGCATCCAAAACGTAGTCAAAAATAAACAGTCAACAAGTTAACTACTCAAATTCGCGTTTGAAACTGTTTAAAGTGTTTAATTTAAATGTGTACTATTCGCAAAACTATAGACAGTACTTATCTAATTTGCTTAAAATATAAATAAAAGCCACCTGAAATAACACAAACACATTTTTGCGAACAGAACAATTGTTCGCAAACATAAATATAACTCTAATTATTACAAGTGGATCTTACCTCGAATAAAAGCCTTACCTGGATCTTTTCAAACCATCTAAGCGCGTAGGCTGGACGATTCAATCCAATGAGATCGTCATTTTATAGGCAATATCGTTAGTCTTCTTGTAATTGTGGAGTGATTAGCGTTAGCTCCCTTAATTACACTTAACATTAACTGGTACACCTTAAATAAAAGTATAGAATTTAGTAGAGTACAAATTTAAACAATTATCGTTTGAAACGCAAAATTTATTAGGTATTAATCACACCTTTATAATTGCTGGAAACTAAATCTTACGTTCGCAGTTAAAATAGATCTAGTTCGCATTTTTAACTATTTTAACTTAGTTAAGGTTACCCTTTTGTTATACTTTATAGGTACTTTTCCGACGACTTAATGCAAATAATATTAATGTAACTGAAACTGCATTTATATTTTTTAAATAATATACTTAATAATTAGAGATGCGCCGAGTAAGACTTTTGCCGAGTAACGAGTACCGAGTTTTACTCGGTGCAAGTTTTTTTCAACCGTACTCAGCCGAGCAACTCGATTCAATCAAATTCTCACTCGCGTAATC